GGATAAAAGTTTTACTATCTGCATAGATACGTGCTTTGTGTCGTTAGTATTTATTTGTTCATTTGCTTATAGTATATATAATTTGAAGTATTCACTGTTATATTATTTTTTGAATTTATCAGTTTGCTGAATGAAATTTATTGTCATTAACGCGTGTTTACAATAAATTATTGAATACACATTTTTCCTTGTCTTTCGAATGTTTTTAACGAGAAATTTCGATTAAATATAAGAAGACCATCACAAGTAAAGAAGAAATCAACAGGAACCGTAATAATGATCAAGAGAATAAGTGACGAAACCAATTATTGACTATACAAAGCGATCAGAGAATGTTCACAATCAGCGACAAATAAGTTGGCATTTTTGTTGTGAAACTGATTGAAATCAAATATTTTCACTGATTTCATCCTCGCCGGAATCATCTTGATCAGATGTATCAACCTTATCTTCATTATTAGCTCGATCATTTTCTGAGTTATTCACTGACTGTGACATATCAATGCCATTCCTGCGAATGATATCACGCAAATGTTTCACAATTTGATTCTTTTGCTTCAGCAGGTGATCCATCGTTTTGAATGCGTTCGTATTCGCAAATTTCTTCTCCAGTTCACTTTCCTTCATCGTTAACTGAAACGATTAAGCATTTGTAGTTTTTACGGTTTGAACACGACATAATTTCAGTTGCAATTTGTTCTCATTAGTTACGACAAATCGACAAACGATTTCATATGTATATTTCTTGTTTTTCTGTAGATAAGAGAATTCGCTTTTTATCGAATTGTTCTAATCGCCTATTATCCGAACGAATTCCGGTGAAGAAATGCTGAACTGGTCGAATAGGATCGCCTGATTTGCATCGACTAATGACGAAACTCTGCTCTAATTCATTTTATTGCTTGAACAAAGAAAATCAGATTTGTCTCACAATCAGCTAACGTAATCGGCGATTTTTATGATTTGGAAGAAAGTGTGAACTGGCAGACCTCTTTCTTGGTTTGTAGAAGACGATGTTCAACAGTTTCGAGTTCATTCAGCAGTTGTTGTTCTCGAATTCGGTTGCTTTCAGTTTTACGCCTTAAATCGGCCATCTCGGCCTCTCGAACACTCAACTCTTCCAGCATACGACTCTTTTCCACTGCAATATCTTATTTCGCCTTTCTTTTACCAGCAAAATTTCAGGTTGAAACTTGAATCTGAATTCTTTTGATATGTCGGGATGAACAGATAAAATAGAGAACCTTTCTGAATATTATTGCAACACAGCATTAAAGGCGAGAAAAGACTTCAGCGCTTTTCATATACCGAGATGGTCGAAGCTTGAACGTCAGTTGATTGAATTTCCCACCTGAATATCGTCGTTCAGCTCGTTCTTGTGGTGTTGTACCTTCTAGGGCTTTCAATTGCCGAAGAATTGTTGCTGTCCTTATGGCTGTTTTACGCTCAAAATGCTCTTTTTCGAATACTTCAACCGCATCCAATAATTGACGATCTTCAAGCTCGGAAAGATTCATGAACAAATTCACGTTGAATTTTTCAGCCTGCAAATCGAATTGTTGTTCTTCGATCGACTTTCGAAGTGAACAATTTGGTTTGGTCATCGGTCGATTTTCGAAGATGTTTAGTTATCGTTCATGCGAATGTCGGATTTGACCATACGAATGAACAAAAAAATGATCGAATTTGAATTGCATTCAAAAAACGCCCATGAATTATATCATTATAATGCTAATAATCAAATAATCGTCGATGTAATGCAGAAGAACAAAAACGTTTACCGAAACTTCATTAAAAATGGATCGAAAAAACAGAATGATTTTATCGAAATCAGTAACGCCATCAAACAATGCCATCGAAAACTGGCCTGTGCGGAAAGTTGTCTAAAGAGCAGAAGATTCATGTGTGCCATATTAATCAATTCACTCTCCAACTCCCCACCGGTCACCTCACGTAACTCCATCAGCAGTTGCTTTATTTCATCTTTTGTGTATGTCTCATCCTGAACTTTCTTCTTCCTGAATCCTCGAACAATTGAACGATTAGAGCTTATGAATCAATGTAAATTATGTACAGCTGTCAATGACGGTAAACACGCGCTCATGATCACCACTATTAAACTCTAATAAATTGGAGTATAATAATGATAGAATTATTGNAAATAAAGGCACATATCGGTTACTTACAGTGTATCGTTGAAAAGCGCCTTTACTGTTGCAATTCTTGACTGTCGTTGCAGACGACAAAACTTCAGGTATTCAATCAAATTGTTCTCGTGATGATCCGATAAACCCAGTTCACCACGGCCATCATCAACACTGATTGCTCTGATAGCTTCCGGGGAAGACATTCGTCAACAATTGGATTTACGGCGATAGGATACGGAGGATGAAAGAATGGAGAAGGAACAGTTAGGAACGAGAAACTGTTGGTAAAACTGTTGAAATCGAGATCCAATGTAGTATAATCTGACTACGTGGAGTTTCACAGGAGTGCAACGATGAATTATTTCGAAATATCTATTTGTAATTTGTCACTCTGACAATGAAAACTTGTCACTATCAATTTCGCATAAGAAATTCACCGTGCATACATGTGACTAACATTATGGACTAACAAATTCTTCAGCTCGTTTCCATAGTGACCCAAGCAACAAACAGATGAAGTGCTAACAATGAATAGCAACGTCATTGTTGCTCTTATCGTTAGCTGAACAACCGAATACGTTACACCTCTAGATTCAGAAATACATGTATGTTGACGGGCGATTTTGCTTACATAAGAAGATAAATNTAAACATTAATGCAGCACTACAAGCGTAACCATATTCAAGCTAACGATACTCTCTTGTTTGCTTTGAAACATAGCAATTTCTATACACCATTCGATTCCAGAGAAACTCTAGATTCAAAATATGATATATTTTGCCCAGCAATTCTGCTCACATGAGAAGATATAGCTATTTTCATGAAGTTACCTCAACTTATGCCGTGGCGCACATTCATACAGATTGATCACTATAAATGATCAATCTATCTATTACTCCAGCACTATAGGGTTGCCATATTTAAGCTAACCGTACTCTCAGCTTTGCACAGTAACATATGAATTTCTGTACACCGTTTAATCCAGCGGAATCTGTCGATTTAGAAAAACATATATTTGGTTGAGCAATCTTGCTTTCTTGAGGAGATATGGCTATTTTTATGAAGCGCAATCAGTAACAAGGGCAAAAGCGATTATTCATACGCATTCCATCACTATAGATCAATGTCAATAAGTTACAGTGGCTCTGTAGAGGTTACCACTTTCAAGCTACCGATATTCTCGGGTTTGTCCGGAAACATATGAATATCTTTTCGATTGCTCGGAACCTCTACTTTCACGATATCATATATTATGCCGAGCAATTATGATTAGATGAGCAGACATAGCTATTTTCTCAACGCTACACGGGTTCCCATCTTCGAGCCTACCGTACCCTCAGCTTTGACCAGTAAAATATGGATCGAATGGTGTACAATACCTGATATGTTACTGAACAAACTTGAGAACACGGTAGGCTTAAATGTACCAAACCCATATTTCTATAGTAATGTA